TACAAAGAGGAGTGATGACCAAAGGAATCAAGAGCAGGCTGGTGAATCCTACAGAGGCAGCTGACCTAAACAAGGGTGAACACATGGACCCCAGACTGATGACTGAGGGGCCAGCATGGGACTGATCCAGACATCCCTCCTACCGAACCTGGGTGAAAGAGAGGTGGCCTTGGCAATCTGTAGGACCTTGGAGAGTAGAGCAGTATTTATTCCTGGCATACCATGTTGAGGGATGCTCTCTCAGCCTGGACACATGGGGAAGAACCTAGACCCTTCCTGGGATGATGTGACAGACTCTGAAAATCCCTCATGGAAGCCCTTGCCCTCCCTGGGGAGTGGAGGGAGGATGGACTGGGGGCGAGGGGTTGGGAGGACTGGGGGCTGGGGGAGGAGGGGAGGTAGAGGGAACTGAGAGTAACATGTGTAAAAAGTTAATTTAAATTAAAAATATGACAAAAAGAAAAAAAACAAAACAAAAACAAACAAACAAAAAAAAAGACTGGGCTGGTTTAACCCCCAGAAACAGCTGACCTGACAAGGGTTAACTCTTGAATCCCAGGCTGATGCCTGGGAATCCAGCATGGGACTGATCAAAACCCCCTGACTGGGGGTTTCAGTGAGGAGGCCTAGGTAATCTATTGAGCCTTGGGCAGTAGATCAGTATTCATCCCAAGTATACACATGGACTTTGGACTCCCATCCAACAATGTGAGATACACTCTCACCCTGAACTCTTAGGGGAGGGTCTGAGCCCTGCCCTGGATGAAATGACAGACTGTGGACACCCCCATGGAGGGCCTCACCCTCCCTGGGGAAATGAGGGAGTATTGGGGGGGTTGGAGGGAGGGCACGGGAGGAGGGGAGTGAAACGGAGAGGGACCTGGAACTGACTTGTGAAGCAACCTTGTTTCTAATCTAAATTTTAACTTAAAAATAAATAATAAAATTTAAAAAAAGATCAAAACCACTGATGACATCCTATGCTGGAGAGGATGTGGAGTAAGAGGGACACTCCTCCACTGCTAGTGGGAGTGAAAACCTGTAGATACTTTGGAAATCAGTGTGTCAGTTTCTCAGAAAACCTGGTATCAGTCTACTTCCAAACCTAGCAATACCACTCTTGGGCATATACCCAAAGGATGCTCAGTCATATCACAAGCACACTTGCTCAACTATGTTCATAGAAGCATTATGCATAATAGCCAGAACCTGGAACAACCCAAATACCTCTCAACTGAAGTATGGATAAAGAAAATAAGGTACATTTACACAATGGAGTATTCTCAACTGTAAAAATCTATGGCATCATGAAATGAAATTTGCAGGCAAGTGGATGGAACCAGAAAAAATCATCCTGAGTGGGATAACCCCAACCCAGAAAGACAAACACAGTATGTACTCATTCATAGATGGATATTAGATGTAAAACAGAGGATAACCAGGCTGCAATCCACAACCCCAGAGAAACTAGGTAACAAGGACACTAAGAGGGACACATGGATCTCCCTGGGAAGAGGAAATAGATAAGATCTCCTAGGTAAATTGGGGGTGGGGTAGAGATGAGGGGATATGGGATGAGACCATTAGAGAATGGGTCAGTAGTGTTGGGGGAAGGACAGAGAGGGAGAGCAATGAAAGAGATATCTTGGTAGAAGGAGCCATTATGGAGAAGCCTGGTGCTAGGGAAATTCCCAGGAATCCACAAGGATGACCCTAGTTAAGATTCCTAGCAATAGTGTAGAAGGTACCTGAACTGACCTCCTCTAATCAGATTGGTGACTGATTGATGACCCTAATTGCCATCATATAACCTCCATCCAGTAAGTGATGGAAGCACATGCAGAGACCCACAGCCAAGCACAGAACTGAGCTCCAGGAATCCAGTCAAAGAGGGATTGTATGAGCAAGAGGAGTCAAGATCATGATGGGGAAACCCAAAGAGACAGCTGGCTTGAGTTTGTGTGACCTCTAAGACTCTGGACTGACTCTGGGGATCCTGCATGGGGCCTAACTAGGCCTGCTGCATGTGGGTGACAGTTGGGTGGTTTGGTCTGTTTGTGGGACCCCTGACAGTAAGACCAGGATCTGTCCTTAGTGCATGAGCTGGCTTTTTGGAACCTATCCCCTTGAGTGGCATGCCTTTTACTCAACCTTGATGAATGGGGAAGTGGGGGAGGGGGCTTGGTCCTGCCTCAGAGACTTGATAAGCCAGGCTTAGTTGACTCCCCATGGGAGACCTTACCCTTTCTGGAGAGTGGATAGGAGTTGGGGAAGGTTGGGGGTGAGGGGGGTGTGAGAGACAGGAGATGGGGAGGGAGGGGGATCTGCAGTTGGTATATAAAATGAATAAAAAATGTAAAATAAAAAGAGAGACTATATGTGAATGTGGGGTGTGTGTATGTGTGTGTGTGTGTGTGTGTATCTTTTCCAACAAATGTTGAAATACCACAAGCATATTGTGGAGTTACGTTGATTTAACATTTGAATGGTGAGTGAAACCAATAATTCGATGAGTACTGTTAAAAATAAAACTTTTTGACAGCAAGCAACAAGGAGTGGTTAATTTTAGATCTGGGTCTCATCGTTGGTAAAATGTTAAACTTGTGTTGACACCTTCTATGGTGGTTTGAATGATAATGGCCTCCACAAGCTTATATATCTGAATGCTTGGTTCCCTATGGGGACATTCTCTTTCACACCACTGCACCTTCTTACTATGCTTAATTGGCAGCAACACTATCTAATACCTTCAGTCTCCATGTGAACAAGCACCTTTTAATAGTTATCCTAGGGACATTTTAAGCAGAGGACTCAGCTACTCTCAGAATGCCCAAGTAAGGACATTCAAGAAAGTTAATGTCAATAGTGAGCCAAAATAAGCATGCAAAGGAATAAAAATACGCCAGAAATGGAAACTGAGCTAGTGTTTCCTAGAAAAGCCTCTGTCAGTGTCACTGTGGTTATGCACTTAGCTGAGTTTTTCATTTGCAAAAGGCCATGTCACAGGCACAGGCTGACATTTTGGCTCACATGTTGGACTCCGACTGCCTCACATGACCCACCTCCACTGTCTTAGGCTTGCTCTTTAGAAAGCCTGCGCTTACTAGACAGACAAGCAGCTACTTAGAATGAGGAAGAAAAGGAGAGTGGAGGGAGGAAAATTGACACTCTGCATTGGTGAAAGAGTCCTAGTCTTGCTAAAAATATTGTCATTTTTCAACAACTTTTTAACTGTTGAAAGTTTTGAAAATTCTAAATACCTATAATTTTGGTTTACCAAAGAGAGTGAGCCCCCTGCCCTGCGCCCTCCCTTATGCCAGGTGATAGAGGCAAGAGAACAAGTGTGGTACACAGAGTCCTTGGGTCCTAGGTACCTAGGAACCGAGTAGGATGACAGAAGCACTCTTATGCATAACTAGTAGCACAAGTTCTAGTTGACCTGAACCCTGAATTAAACGACAGACATAGATGAGGAGCATTCTTCTATGTTGTGCGAGAAAGACCACCTGATTAATTTGCCTATGGAGAAAGAGAAAATCCAAAGAAGGCTGTATTCTCACAACTTGATATACTTTGCGTCACGGTCATGTTTAAACTTGACTCTTAAACAATCGTGTCTTACTCTGAAGTTAATAAAATGTCTGAGGAGCACTTAAAGCAATGGCCGTCTGATAATGCTGTGGGTAGATGGAGGTCGGTAACCAGTGGCCTTTTGGCGTTTTAGACTATACATCTTCCGAAAAGAAAAAGAGATTTTTAAGACTACAGTTCCAATATATGTTCAACTGCTTTTCATTATATATGCATAGGTGAATAATTTATAAACTAAATAAAATTATTGAAAAATAACCTATCCCATAAAGCATAGAGAGTTCATCATCAATATCTGGCCCCCATAGTTTTTATATCATGTCATTTTGATATCACCAGCCGTCCTTTCAACTAACAGAAGCTACTGTGTACTTACTTATCCGCTATTTATTTAGCTTATTCTCACTTGGGGTTAACATTACTTAGATGGCACCACAAAACTTATAAATTTGGATTTGTTTTTAATGTTTTGCAGAAAAAAACAGGTAGCATATTATGAACAATCTTATGGAAATATCAGCAAAGTTGAAATATTTGTTTCTATAGAAACAATAGTGACTTAATCTTAATTATAGCTCAGGTGGGCCTGAAATTTGCAGAAGACCTCTCCCCCACAACCGCCCACCCCCACCCCTCCACCCCCCCGCTCCAGCCTAGGATGCCAGTTGAGATACCTGGTTTACATTTCTTACTTTAGACTGAGACAATTCTGTTAACTTTGTTACAAAAGATTTCCACGTCTCTGAACCATCTTGTTACAAAGCCGAATTGATTCTGAAATTTAAAAGCTGCGTTTGCAGCCATTATACAACTTATTAGAGGATGGAAATTACATGAGGCACAATCGATCTGCAGGTTGTGGATTCTAGAAGTGCACTTTTCCCAACTTTAACACCAGACAAAAGAGGAGGCAGAAAGCCGAATTCTAAGTCGGACTGGTGGCCTGGGCAGGGCGGGATGGGGGGGAGTAGGGTCCTGGGGCGACACCGGGACAGCAGCATCGAAGTTCTGCTTTGTTCATCAACTGATAATAAGGGAAAGAAAAAAGTTTAGCTAGGCGTGTTCGATTCTCAGTGTGAACACAGATAAGAAATATTTACCCAGGGTATTTTGTTTTAAACTAACCCCTGCTGTTTTGTATGTCCTTAAAGGGACGTTTAAATAAATGGCATGTTAGCTGATGAGTTGCTAAGTGGCTCTGGGTCGGTTCGCGCGTCGGCTTTGTCACATTTTCTGGCACACACCGCCTGCACTGGACGGTTTCCCTCTTCTCAGAACCGCAGTAAGCACGCGGGCCGCTAGCGGCTGGGGTCACACGCCTGGGTTCCTTTCTCACTTAGTTTTAGACCCTCCCTCTGAGGCTTGCATTGGGCGTGGTGAGAGTGCAGGAGGTACTTCCCCAAGGGCCCGGCACTCCCGCCGGGGCACTTGCCGTGGCCACAGCACGGGAGGACCACGCTGTCGCGCGGACTCCTGCGCGTGGCGCGGCGCTCCGCCAGCGAGTGCCGGGATCCCTCTCGGCGTCCTGTGCGCAGGAATACCTCCGGTGAGTGGCGGCATGGGGCGAGCGCCGAGGAACTCGGTAAGGCGGCCTCGCGGCTCCGGGGTCCATTGTCGCACTTCTTCACCCTCGGGACTGAGCCTCGGGCTTCCCTGGGATGAGAATAGTGGTTGGTGCCCTTGACGAGAGGCTGGAGGAGAGCCACACCTCGGGACGGCAGTTACCCAGTCCCACACTCGGGAGACTGAGGCAGGGGATCACGGCTTCATTACAGGGTGAGATGCAGTCTTAAAAGTAGAGGAGAGAGGGAAAAAGAGATTAGATTCCTGTTCTCCATTAGTGAGGAATGGGTACAGCACCCCTTTCTCTGTGCAACCCCCACCCTGATTCGGTGAGTCCTCTATCCCTTTGTTCCGCACAGCAGTGCGCTCACATTCTCGCCTCGTAGTTCTTGAATGTCACAGTGGTTAGTTAGATAGGATGGCAAACTTTGAACCGCAGTCTGACTTTAGAGAGGAATCCTGTTAGAACAGCAAGTGCTGTTTCTCAGTAACAGGATCGCTTTCCTACTGCTGCACCTGGCTTGTTCTCTAGCAAATTTTCCATCACTGCTTTTAACATGTAACCACCAAATGTCTAAAGAGATCTGGAACAACGGTTTCCTTTGCTCTTGGAAGTTTCTGGTACTCTTCGCATAGGGGCACAACGTTTTTGCTGTTTTTAAAGCAAAAATGTGAATTGAATGTCCGTTTTTCTCACGGCATTTGGTGGGCACTGTAGCGAATAGAAGACATATTTAATACCTTCAAAGTTAAAATCAGAGGTATACTTAAGAGTATAGCAAACGAAGAGGCGGCACCTAGTTTTAATCAAATTAATCTTTCAGTGGCACTAGGTGAATGCTTAAAGAGAGAGATCAAAAGTTCAGGCTACCTACCTGAATTTTAACAACGTCCTTGAAAAAAAAGTGGTGTTCTTTTCCTTTTCAGCAAGGGAACAGGAAGGTTATTTACTGAGCACTTGCTGAACGCTTGGTGCGGTGCTTAAGAGCATCTCATTTTAGCTCCACAATAGGTTCATGAAGCAGGGACCATTTTGTTTCTCATTCTGTAGACAGGCCACACAGCTAGAATCGTCAGCTGAGACTGCAGCCTCTTTCCCAGGCCTTCTGCTCAGTTCTTGACTAACATAGTTGCTCAGGGGGCTCTTTTTATAGCTACTTTGTGGTACTGATGTAGGAGCACTGAGGCTCACTGAAAAATAAATGAGCTGCATAGGCCAATTCCCAGAGAACTGCAATAGGCAGTACGGGATGAACTGTTGTTAGGTCAGCAAGCATCCAGAGTGATGGAGAAGTAAGAGGAAAACAGGGGACATGCTCTAGTGTGGCTCTGAGTCTACTCCTAGGTTTCCAGTGTCATCTTGATCACGGCACATGTCACCACAGTATAGAAAGAATAATGGTTACCTTGTATAGTAAAACAAGGGTTAAGGACTAAGTGATAGACTCTGCATTGTGGACAATTGTTTTAAAAGGCCAGAAGATGATCAAGTTTAAGTTAATCAAACTGTGTTTTGTCACTACACTACAATGTCAAGGAAAGGAACTGGTTAAGTAACTGTCAGACAGAGATGTTGGCAATGTGGGTTGTTAGGGCAGAAACTTAAGCTGAATTCTCTGTATGAGAAACCTTGAAGGATGACTGTTCGTCTTCAGTTTACCTCACTTTATACAAAGGTAGAGGGTGATGTCACAAGATGAAGTAAACTTGTCCGGATTTCCCAAGAGGCAGAAATAAACCTCAAGCCTCCATGCATTGACCACACATAGAGACTTCAGCACTGAGGTATCAAGCAGAGAGATGTCTGTCCAATAAACGAGGAAGGATCATCTTGCAGGGGATTTGATTTGTTATCGTTGTTTTTAATCTTGTGTCTATGTGGTGGTGAGTGGGTATGTTCACATGAGTGCAGATGCCCATAGAGGCCAGATGTGTCCAATACCCTGGAACTAGGGTTCCAGGTTGTTGTGAGCTGCCTGATGTTGGTGCTGGGAACTGAACTCAGATTTTCTACAAGAGCGATTCCCACTCTTAACCACTAAGCCATTTCCCCAGCCTTATGATTTAATTTTCTCAATAAATGTTGGTTGCATTTGATTTTATTTGGGGTCTTTTTCCTTTGCTCTTGTTTTATATTTTTTGAGGATTTTTGTTTGTTTGCTTGTTTTCTTCTACTTTGTTTGATTTGTTTCACCTTTTTTGTTTGTTTTGTTGTTGTTATTGTTTTTACATCCCAAAGTTTCCCCTCCCTCCCTTCTTCCCAGGTCCTCCCCCCACTCCCCTCCCACCCCATCCATTCTTACTCCACTGTTTCTCTTCAGATCCAGGAGGGCATCCTATGGATATCAGCCAGCCATGGTATATCAAGTCACAGTGAGACTAGGCTCCTCCCCTTCTATTAAGGCTGGATAAGGCAATCTAGTAGGAGAAATTGGTCCCAAAAACAGACAGCCAAGTCATAGACAGTCCCTCCTCCCACTGTTAGGAGTCTCACAGGAAGACCAAGTTACTCAACTGTAACATATATGCATAGTGTCTAGGTCAGTCCCATACAGGCTCCTTGGTTGTCAGTTCTGTCTCTGTGAGCCTCTATGAGCCCAGGCTAGTTGGATCTGTGGGTTTTCTTGGGATGCCTTTGGCATCACTGGGTTCTACAATCCTTCCTCCCAGCTCTTCCACAGGATTCCCCAAACTCCACCTATGTTTGGTTGTGTGTCTCTGCATCTGCTTCCATCAGTTGCTAGGTCAAGCTTCTCTGATGACAGTTGGGCTAGGCACCTATCTCTGAGTATAGCAAGATGTCATTATGAATCATTACATTGACTTTTCTTTAAGATGAGCTTCTTACTATGTTTCCCAGCCTGGCTTTGAATGCCTGTGCCATAGTGATCTGTCAGTTTCAGCTTCCTGAGTACTGAAGTTTCATGTCTATACCACCTTACCTAGTTTGGTCATTTAAATCTTTCAGTAGTATGTATGTATGTATGTATGTATGTATGTATGTGTACCCATGTGCACACCTGCCACAGTTAGCATGTGGAGGTCAGGAGAAATGTGTAGGCACTGGTTGTTTCCTTCCACTTTGGGACCCAAGAATGAAACTCAGGTCATCATGCTTGCACAAACACTTTTAACCTCTGAACCACTTGCTAGCTCTTCTTGTTGTTTATTTTTAGTTTTGTTTGTTTGTTTTTTCCCTATGCCATCTTGACTCGGTGATGATGGAATCTTAATGTGGTTTTCATTTGCATTTCACTGGTATCTGGTAATGTTGGACACTTGTACATGCTTGTTAGCTGTTTGCACTTCATCTTCTCAGAACTGTCCTTGTCATTAGCCTATATATTGCCTGGGTTATCTGATTTCTTGTTGCTTAGGCCTTCTTTTTAGTTTATATATGCTATATACTAATCCTCTGGTGTATAACTGGCAAAGATTGCTGGAGACTGTCTCTTCACTTGATTATCTATTTCTTTTTCTGTGCAGAAACTTTTACAATTCATTAGGTCCGATTTGTCCATTGGAGTTACTTCTTGCATGACTAGAATCCAGTTACAGAAGTCCCCGGCTATGCCCATGTCTGGAAGGATGCTCCTTACCTTTTCCTTTAATGGTTTTAGTGCTCCTGTTCTTTCATTCAGACCTTAGGCCTGATTGGAGGTGATTTTTGTAGAGGTCCTAGTTTCATTCTTTAACATGTGGATATCCAGTTTTCGAAGAACTGCTTGATGAAGCAGCTGTCTTTTCCACATTACATATTTTTAGCATCTTTGCTGAAAGAAAAAAAACAGGTGGCTGTAGCTGTGTAGGTTAGAATCTGTGTCTTTAGTTACATAGATTGTGTTTGTTTTGTGTGAACACTGTGCTGTTTTAGTTACTATAGCCCTGTACTACAACTTGAAATCAGGTATGTGACATATCTAGCAGTGTTCTTTTTTGCTCAGAATTGCTTTGGATATCTGGGATCTTCTGTATTTACAAACTAATTTTAAGATTTTTTTCTGTCCTGTGAAGAATGTTGACAGAATTTGATTGGTGGTTTCCTCGAATCTGGAGCTTTCTTTTGGAAGTGTCGCCATTTTCACAATATTCTCCTAATCTGTGAACATGGGATGTCTTTCCACCTTTTAGTGTTTCTTTTGTGTTTTAACCTTTTCATTGAAGAGGCTTGCACTTCTTTACTTGGGTTTATTGTAAAGTGGATTTTTTGTTTTGTTTTGGTATTATTTGTTTTAATGTGTGCGTGTGTGTGTGTGTGTGTGTGTGTGTGTGTGTGTTGAATGGTATTTTCCCCCAGTTTCTTTGTCTGCATGTTTTAATAGGTATATAGGAAAAGTAATAATTTTATATATTAATTTTGCATCCTGCCACATTGCTGAAGGTGTTTCTCTGTTCTGAGTTTTCTGGTGGGGTCTTTAGGTTGGTTGGTTGTTTAGTTGGTTGGTATGATACAAGGCCTCACTATTCAGTCCTAACTGGGCTGGAACTGCCATGTAGACCAGGATGACTTCTGACTCACATAGATCAGCTTGCCTCTGTCTCCCCAAGGTGAGGACTGTCATGCTGAGCCAAATTCTCTTACGTATAGAAGGATGTCTTCTGCAAACAAGTACACCTTGACTTCTTCCTGTCTTATTTGCTTTCCTTTTTATTCCCTTCTCATGTCTTACTGCTCTGGCTAAGACTTTAAATGCTGTATTGAGTAAGAGAGGAGAAAGTAAAAACCCTTGTCTTGTTCCTGATCTTAGAGGAAATGCTTTCAGCATTTTTTTCCATTTAGCATACTATTGGAAATAAGTTTGCTACATCTAGTTTTTATTGTGATGAAATATATTCCTTCCATTCCTAATCTCTCAAAGGATGTTAGATTTTGTTTAAAAGGCTTTTCTGTATCAATTGAAATGATCAAGTGATTTCTGTCCTTGATTCCATTAATGGGCTGTATTACATTGGTTTACTTGTATGTGGTAAACCATCCATATATCTCAGGAATGAATCTGGTAAGATATTTTTAAGGATAAATGATAAAGCGATCCTAAAAGGGCTGAAAATAAACAAACAAATAAAAAAACAAACATTAAGGAGTTTCCTAAACTCAGGCAAGAAAGTCCCTATCCTTGGGTAAAAGCTAAGGAGAACCACAGAACTGGAAATAGTGAGATGAGAGGGAATCCAGTGGTGCCTCAGCAGCTGCACAAGGATGGAAGACAGGTGTGTGTGCACCAAATTTGGTTCACATAAGTGGTGTTTCAGGTACTGGGTAGAAAGAGAAAACTCTGAAGAAGGGTTGCTGGCTACATGGTGACTTTAGAAACTGCCTACTAATTTCAGAAGAAGGTGGGAAAGTCTAGCTTTCTCAATTTTACTTAGCTAAAAAGCTTGCCTTACTAAAGCTTATGGCACCATAGAGAGAATTATCAGAGAACACACCAAAAGATTAGGTAGTAGGGTATCACAGCTGTTAACTGTCATGTGATTGAAGCAGACCACCCTGCTCAAACAGTGCAGGCCTACATACTCTTCACAAAGGTCCAAAAGGTGTTTCAAACAGGAGCCATTGCAACAGAAAAGAGGTCTGATCAGCTCTTTGTAAAGCAATATTTCTATGCCAGACAAGAACATAACAAAGATGTTTCCCCAGGTGTCCAGCTTTTGCCTGGTAAGAGGCAGGGATGACATACAAATTGCAAACTTAAACAAGGCTGCACAGCTACCAGCAGGAAATATTCACTCACCATCCTGCCTCTGTTACAGCACAGGTGAAATGAGATGTTAAGGCAACCTCACCCCCACCCCCAGCCTCCCACCCCACCCCCAATTGTAAGCCTTTTAGACTCAAACAAAGAGAACACAGGTAATGGTAATTTCTAGTACATGCAATGAAAAGATTCCTGCCTGCCACCATCTTCTAGTGATATGAAAATTATACCATCTCTATCTTCTACTCCAAGGAGAGGTGGATTTTTCTTTTCGGTAGCAACTAGAGAAAACTTTACACTACCAAGGTCCAACCCTCGGTATCTGCCAATGTTAAAAGAAGAGTAGCAGAGAATCCAAAACTTTTGGATTGTTTATTCAGGAAGAGAGGGACAGATGAGGCGGGGGGGCGGGGGTGAGGGTAAGGCAACATCCAGAGGAAGAGCTGAAACCAGTTACTTACAGCACAACGCACCTGGATAGTGTCATATCTATTTTTTTTTCTTTTTCAGTCTTGTGATTTGATCATTTTTATTATTTTACGTTTGTAGATGCTTTGCTTGCATGGATGTCTGTGCATCATATCCATGCCTCGGGCCTGTGAGGGCAGAAGAGGGTGTAAGATTTCCTGGAACTGGAGTTATAAATGATTGTGAGCCACGATGTGGATGCTGAGAATCAAATACAAGTCCTCCAGAAAATCAGCCAGTACTCTTAAGTAGAGTCATCTCTGCTGCCCCAATTTGATAACTTTAATTTTGGTAAAAAAATATTTTATAAAAGAAAATTATTTTATGGGAGTCCAGGCATGACACATGCCTTTAATGCCATCACTCAGGAGTCAGAGGCAGGCAGATCTCTGTGAGTTCAAGGTCAGTCTGGTCTATAAAATGAGCTCTGGGACAGCTAGGATTACACAGAGAAACCCTCCCCTCCCCCCCAAAAAATGTTTTAATCTGGGAATATCTCGGAAATAAACATATGCTCCATTAAAAAGTTATTTATCTCTTTTATAGAAAAAAACTTTTGACATGGCTTTCTTTCCTTTCTAACTCCCTCCTTTTTAAAGCATAATTTTCATTTAGATAATAAATTTTACTGATTGGTTAGCATGCTAAGATTTCTAAGCCTTTCTTTTTCTTTCTAAGCTATTTAAATACTGGTTTTGTAAAAGGTCTAGTATTTTAATAATTTAATAGCACACAAGTAGAGTAAGATGGAGTGGCTCAGGCCTGTAATCCTAGCACTTAGAAGGGGAAAGTAAGAGGATAAAGAGTTCAAAATCAGGACTGATGAGATGACTCAGTGGGTTAAGGAACTTGCTGTCACCAAGCCTGATAATGTGATTTCAATCCCTGGGTCCCACAGACTGGGAGAAGAGAACCAACTTCCACAAGTGGTCCTTTGACCTCCATACACTTGCCATGGCACAGGTGCACATGCACAAATAGATAAATAGGGGATGGATAGATGGATGGATAGAAGAATGGATGGATGGATGGAAGAATGGATGGATTGATGGATGGATGAAAGCTAGAATTTTAAAGATTAAACAAGGTGTTCAAGATCATGCTCAACGTACAATAAATAGGAAGCTAGCTTGAACTACATATGACTATGTCTCAATTATTTTTAATTACACAAAAACATTTGTAGTCTTTCAAAATTTCGAGTCATTGAAATTTTTATTAGAACCTTGAAAGCTATAAAAGAATTGGTTTTGTTTTTATTTTTTGTAACACTTTCTTGAGTCTACTGTTAATTTACAGGATGACTTTATAACACAACAAGCCTAGTGTACATTCAGAATCAATGTTTGATAGTTCAGTGGTGAACAGAAATGTCACCTATCAAGAAGGTGGCTGCAGGAGGCAGGGGTGGGGGGTGGGGGGAAGGATGGGGCATAACAAACAGCAGCCCCTGTCAACCTTTGAGAGGCCTTCTTTCAATGCCTAACATCCAATATTTTACCTTGTTCAGAAAAATGTACAATTCCAGTACACTGAAAGTGATTCAGAAAGCAAAACCATCCAGGACTAAAGAGAAAATGAAATAGACCGCAGCCTCGGTGGACAGCTTACTTGGTAAGTCATGAACCAGAGACACTTCCACATTAATCTTCCTAACGGCTTTGTTTGGGCGGGCATTGCTAATGGGATGAGGAAATGAGGCCCTCACACACAGCAGCACACAGCAGAACTGAAATATACTAGCCTTTTCTTTTCTCACAATACCACCTTCTTCCTTCAACGTACTACAGCGTCGCAGAGGAAAACAAATGTGAACATACAAAGTGTTCCTGTCTGGGTGAAATTCTCATCCGTGGAAGACCTCACCTGTGGAAGACCAAGGGTTTGGGTTTTTTTCGTGGTCTGCTCAAGGACAGCTTCCAAGAAGCTGCTTGTTTTGTGCTTGTCTCTGAGGTGACTGGCAGAGACTGGCAGGGAGCAGCTGCTGTGCCTTCCTGTCTCTGCTGGGTGGCACCGCTTGGGGGTCCCTCACTGCTCTCCCTCTGAGCATGGTTTTTTTTCACTGTCTGGGAGCCGTGCTTGATGAGTCAGGGACAGAGTCTTTCATCCTGGGATGCATGAGAGAGCTGTAGTTTTGATATTGACCATAGAGGCAGGCTATGTGAAGGATGTTGACAGCCCATGTGAGGTTTCATTTTATTGGAAGATGCCTTATTTACTTGAAGGTTGTTGAGCGGTCTGAACTTCTCATAAATGGAATTGTTTTCACCTGGTTCTCAGGGAAAATCAATGCTTATGTTTACATCACTGTGTTATACTTCTTACTGGATTGTTCCCCATTGCTCAGTTTGCTTTTTTGTACCATCCAGTACCACATGCCTAGAGGTGGCACTGTCCCCCAGTGACCTTAGGTCTACCTGCTTTAATCATTACACCATTCAGGACCACCTGTTCAGGAGTGCCACTGCCCCCAGTGACCTGGGACCACCTATATTAACCATTAATCAAGAAGATGCACCACAGACAACTTTTTTCTTTTTTAATTGAAAATTTATGAAATATACTCTGATAAAAATTTGCCCTTCCCCATCTCTTCCCAGACCCTCCCCCACCTCCCACCCATCCAATTTAGCTCCTTCTTTTTGACTGTTCAGAAAACAAACAGGCAAATAAAAAAACAGATTTTGAAAAAAAAATGAAAAAGCATAAGAAGCACACAGATACAAAAAATAAATAAACTGAGCCCAAAACAGACAAGCAAAATACCATAAAGATTTTTTTAATGCCCAAATACAGCAATGTGAAATTTAAAAAAAATCTACAAAAGTACCACTGAGTACATTTTGTGTTAGCCATTTACTGCTGGGAATGTGATCTACTTTTATATACCCAGTCAGATTCCACTGGAGAAAATCATTTTTACATTAGCAAATGGGTGTCAGTTGGAGATCGTTTCTCAAATAGGGATGGGAAATGGTGTCCAGCTTGAACCTGTCCTGTCCCTGTGTGTGGTACCATGGTCTCTGTGAGTTCATATGTGCATCCTTCCTGCTGTATCTGGAAGACACTGTTTCCTTGCTGTCCCACATCATCTCTGGCTCTTACAATCTTTTTACCTCCTCTGCCTTGTTGCTCCCAGAGCCATAGGGGATGAGATCGATAAGGACATTTCATTTAGGAGTGAGTGTTCCTAAGTCTCTCACTCTTGGCTGATAAGGAAATATAAGCATACACTTGATAAGGGTATGGTAAAATACTTTCAAGAGAAACTGGTAACCCAGGTTAGTCTCTGCAGCTTTCTGAGACCAGACCGGAACCCTGAAAAGAAAGGGCTTCTCTTCTCAGCCCTTTATTCCACTAGCCCGCATGCACCTGTAGCCACGCCCAAAACGGGAGTGGTAAGGAGCATAGGTGCCTAGGTTTCTCCCTACACTTACCACATTGCCCTGTTGTAGGTCTCTGTGTTAGTTTTCATCCACTGAAAGAGAAACCTTTTCTGATAATGGCTGAGCAAGGTCTGATCTATGAGTACAGCAAAAATGACATTAGAAGTCATGTTATTGTTGTGTTCCTTTAGCAGAACAACAGCATATTGTTTTCCCCTAGGCAGGTGCCCTATCTAATCTCAAATTCTAGGTAGCCCAAGCAGTGTTGGGCATGTGTTTCCATCTCACGGAGTGGGCCTTAAATCAAATCAGAAAGTGGTTGTTTACTCTCATAACATTTGTACCCTTATTGCACCAGAATATCTTGTAGTCAGGTTACCATTATAGATTTCAGGGTTTGTAACTGGGTTGCTGTTTACCTTTCTCCTCTGGTACCATGCAGAATACCTTCCAGTACCTTGAACACCAGTCAGAAAGTGTAAAGTCTATAGTTAGATACCAGCTCAACTTCTTCATGTTTAAGGAGATATATGTGAGCATTGCCTTCAGCAATAGAGCCTTACAATCAGTTTGTGGAGAGCTACCAATAGCCTTGACCTGAGTTGTTTGAGGGTGTCCATGGGAGAACCCCTTTGGCTAACAACTCAATTAGATGTAACCCATTCCTGTCATTTGAGTTTCACTTGGTGCCAGAGATGTCTAGTTGACACATTGTCTTCTCTGTCATTTGGTGACTCCATTTAGATTTATTCTATGTATGTATAGTTTAAGAGGCTTATAATTTAGTAGGTTTCCACATACCCCATCAAATGATCCTTGGTGTTGTCCCTCTCACCATTCCCCCTCCTTACCCCCTTTTCCTTTCTTCTTCTCATTTAATCCTCCCATTCCACTATCCCCACTGTCTCTCTGTAACTACAAATTTATATCCTCTTCCTTGGGAAACCCTACCCTCTCCCCAACTCCCTTATTAGTTAACTAATCTCTGTGGTTGCATGAATTGTAGGGTGCCTAATGAAGGCTTAAAAGCCAACAACTACTTATAAGACAATATATACCATGTATGTCTTTTGGGTTACCTCACTTTGAATGAACTTCTCAGACTCCATCCATTTACCTATGAAATTTATGCTTTCATTTCTAACAGCTGAATAATAATTCCACTGTGTAAATATATCATAGTTTCTTTATTCCTTCATCAGTTGATGGATATCTAGGCCCTCTGTACTATCTGGCTACTATGAATAGAGCACAAGGATAAGCAAGTGTCTCTATAGTAGAATGTAGAGTCCCTTATAGGCCCAAGAGTACTGTAGATGGATCTAGATCTATTCCTGGCTTCTTGAGGAATTGTGGCTGTTCAAGTTTTCATTCCCACCTTGATGAATAAGTGTGCCCTTTCCCCCACATCCTCACCAATATGAGCTGTGATACAGGGGCATTTTCTCAGTTGAGAGTCTCTCTTTCCAAATGACTCTAGCCTGCATCAAGTCAACATAAAACTAACCAGGACAATTGAACTCAGTCAACTTCATAAACAAACACTTCACTGTTAAACCATGACCTTCCCTTTCTTGCTCGTCGTGATGATCTCAGTATTCATACTATAATATAAAACTTTAAAATCTCACAGTCTTTAATACTTAAAACACTTACAAGTTAAGTCTCTTTATAATATTCAAACTCTGTAAAATTCCAAAGTCTCTTCATTGTGGGCTCCTGTAAAATCAAAAATAAGTTCAATACTTTTTTACTCTGAGAGAAAAATCAGGGCATAGTCACGATCAGATCAAAGCAAAACCAAAATACAACAGTGTAAAGCTGAGAGTCAGACTCAGAGACTCTCAGTCTTCCAGGCTCTAAAGGATATGCCACAGCACGCACTGTGCCTTATAGGCTCAAGCTAACTACACACACAGCCCTTGCTGTCCTTGGTCATCACTCCATGGTACTAACATCTCCAAAATGTTGGGGTCTCCACTGAAACTTTGCTGCACCTTCACCGACAGCCTCTCTTGGGCTTTCTTCAAGGACCCTGGTCCTGCCATATTGTGTGAAACCTCAACTTCTCTCCATGACCCCTTCAATCCTAGAACTTTGTTTGCAATGGAGGCTGCACCTTCACTAATGAACTCTCCTGCCTCTCCTCAGGGATTCCTGCCCTCCCACACGATGACAAGTTTCAGCTGCTCACCGTGACCCCTTCATACCTTCAAAACCAGTACCACCTTGGTGAATCTTACATATTACCAAGTCCGGCTGCCAGCATGAGATGTAGCCTTGGACCCTCTGGACCACAGCTTCTGTGTGCTGACCCTGAGGAAATACATCCAGAAGATTTCACCTAAATGATGTTGGTCTCTTCTTAATCACGGTTGATTATACCGATTGTCCCAACAAAGCAAAGATTTCACCCTACTGTTATTAATTCAAAACATCACTCAATACTGATAGAGCCTTTGCTTCCCTCTGAAACGTGAAAAGTTAGCTCTTCATCATCTGTACTGCTGACAGGTTTGTCTTCCTAGTTCCCACAATAATTGACTAAGCTCTAGATGCTCAATGACTTTTCCAGTTCAAAGTTCCAAGTCCTTCCACAATCCTCCCCAGAACAATCTGGTCTGGTCTGTCAGAGCAATACCATACTTCTGTTCCCAATTTCTAACTTAGGATTTCTATTGCTGTGATAAAACATCATGGCTAAAGTGTTTTATCTTTATCTGTGGAGGGAGGGGTTTATTTATCTTACACTTATATATCACAGTCCATCATTGAAAGAAGTTATGGCAGAAACTGAATCAAGAACCATGAAAGAATACTGTGTGCTGACTTTCTCCACTTGGCTGCTCAGCCTGTTTTCTTATAGCACCCAGAACCACCCACCCATAAGTTGTTCTGTTCCTAGTGAGCTGGGACCACCTATACCAATCATTAATCAAGAAAATGCCCCCATAGGGTTTCCTACAGACAGATCTTATGGGAGGCATTTTCTAAATGGAGAGTCCCTTTCCTCAAATGACTCTAGCTTATGTCAAGTTGACATAAAACTAACCAAGACAAAAATCAAAATGATATCCTTTTGTTGCTGTTATTTTGAGACAGGGGTTTGCCAAGGCTGACTTCAAATTTGTCAGACTCCTGCCTTGGGTTCCAGTTTTAAATTACTTCAAAGTCTGCTTTGTTCATTTCCCCCTCTGTACCCACATGTTTAAGAGTTAATCCCCAGTGATTTGAGGAGATGCAGACTTCGGGAGGTGATCATATCCCAGAGCTCAGCACGCATGAGTGGGATTAGTGACCCAGCTGCCTTGCTCCTTATACCATGGGGAGCAAGCCCAGAAGTGCCATCTATGAACTGAGGAGCAGGTCCTTATCAGACATTGAAACTGCTGCCTTCTTGATCTGAGGCTTTCTGTTGCTCCCAGCATCACTCTGGAGCTTTCGCAGCAGTCTGAACGCAGTGAGATTCCCAGCCCCTTCTCAGTCTCTGCCCATTCATTGTATCTTACCCTTGCACATCGTTGAAAGAAATTATGGCAGAACCAAGATGGTTCTCTGAGATGGGGTAGGGGACAGAAAGTGGCTATGAATCATCAGTTTCCTAGTTTTACAGTCTTAACAACATGGGGAAACAGGAGTCCTTGAATCGTTCTGGAAAGTGGTGGTTCTGGTTATTTTCTAAATGTTCTTAACATGAATGAATTTGTCTTCTTTTCCAAGGGGAACTCAAGGTGCATTCTGGAATTAACTGCTCATGGCACACACTGTTAGAGAGTGCTTGTTGGGACTGATTTTTTTATTCATGTGGCTCTTGATTAAAGCAAATATAGGTAAGATATTTCTGCAACCTAGTCTGTGGAAGTTTAAATTCTCAGATATAAATGACCATACATTGTGGTAAGTGTTCTAAGTGGATTTTGTGGTCACTCATTTAATGGATAAGTCTGGCTCTGTAGTATTACCTTATTTGTTTTAATAATTAATGTAAGGATATAATCGTGCATTTGTTCTTAAGAAACTGGCTAAGAAACATGAAGCCTAATGGAAGCATATTTTACATTAAAGTGCATTTTAGGACAAGAAAGATGGCTCAGCAGGTAAAGGCACTTGCTGTGCAAACCTGGCCACTTGAGTTTGATCCCGTGAGCCCATACTCTAGTCTCCATATATGTGCTGTGGTACATGTGAACACACACACACACACGTAAATATTAAATAAAATAAAAATTAAAGTGTATTTTAGTAGGGATATTTATGGTCAAATTCAACTATAATATATATATTGTATATGGCAGGGGCTACATTTTCCTGGCTTTATAAGTAAGAGTTTGATTTTGGCTTTCTGACCTATTATAATGAAGAATAAAAGAAACCAAGGCCAATCATAGAAGAAAAATAAGATAGGGAGAGAGACTCCATTTAGCCTTGAACATGAAAAATTAGTGTTATATTTTAAAGGATTGTTCAGTGTTTCAATTACTTGAGATAAATAATAACTTCTTTGTCAATTCTTCCTTGCACATTGATCCTATCATAGAATTATCCCCAAAGACTTCCAGTGGGGACTTTACATCACATCTGAAGTTGAGAATGAATCCGTATTTTGTAGTTCTTTTTACTTAAGTGTGCCAGTGGAAGGCTTTTGGAAGTGAGTTAAATGGGAGTTCAAGGTGGCATTGGCTATAGTAATACAGTCATCCAAAAAGAGGAGCATGCATGACATTTAGCTCAACCATACCACCCAGGGTCCTACAGCTTGAAGAAATGTCAAAATGCAGATATTGGACCCACTCTCCTTTGTTTTTTGTTTGTTTCTTTGGTACATTCTCTGACTATGTAGCCTGATCTGGCCTCTAATTCGTGATGCCCCAACTCAGACTCCCAAGTGCTGGCATCATAGAACCGCACCTGGCTTCTGATTTTCACCCCCGATGCCAATTAAAAACACACTTGAACCTTTGAATATTTTTCTTTTTTATAATATGATATTACATATTAAATTCATTTCATACGACTGATGGTTAAGAGAAAAAATTTTTAAATGATGTTACAAGTTATACTCATTTAATACAACTGATGAGAAGAAATTATTTCTAGATATGCCCCTAGGGTCTTGTAAAATTGTCTTAGTTTTTCTTAATGTAATTATTAAGATAAGCATTTTAAATTACAAAGGCATTAGTAAACATGCAATTTATCCTGGGACGCTCTCTTTGGGTAGTCTACACATGTGAAATCTGCACATGCAAAAGTTCCATGAGAGATTTTGGAACTGCATTCCAGAATGTTCTTTCAAATGCTACTTTCTTGCTACTTTCCTCTTGTGCTTATGATTATAGTATGGATATTTTGAGAAGAACATATATTTAATTCAAGAACATTTTAGTATGGCTATCTTCTGGTCCCCAGCATTGCCAATGCTGCCGGAGCAATGTAGGTTATTAATAGTTCCATGACCTGATGAGTTTTAATTTTACCCTGCTGTGGGTTTGAACAAACACCCACCATCTAGAAATGGGTGTCTTCCTTCCAGATGAGTTTTACATTTGTCTCTTCAGATGCATGCAAGAGAGGCACCGTGACTGTCAAGCCTTCCCCTGTGATTCCACTTGGGTCAGCTGCCAATATTTCCTGCTCTTTGCATCCCAAACAAGGCTGTTTGAATCATTCCGGTCCTAACAAATTAGTCCTCTTAAAGGTCGACAGAATAGTCCATTTCCACTACGGTCAATCCTCCACTTTTCAAGTCACCAACCTTTCCCTTGGTATGACCTTGTTCGTCTGCAGGCTGGACTGTAGCCCTGGTCGGTACCGAGTGTGTGGGGCAGAGATCTCAGTTGGTGGTGAGCATTCTTTTCTGAACTCTTCCGGTGTGTGTGTGTGTGTGTGTGTGTATTTGACATGAGGTAAATAAAAGCCCAAACACCAGACAGATTTCTTTGTTCTCCAATAACATTACGTATTTTATTGTAAGAGCACTATGAGACTCTCTGTGTGTAAAGGCCAGAGACGACCAGAATTAGCAAGTTATTTAGCAACTCATAGTCTCTCCCGACCTCTTGCCCTTGACTCTCTCTCACTTCTGTTTCTTCCTTTCCTCTTTCTCTGACCATTGGGAGAACTTGCTTTCTCTCTGTCCTTGGCTCTCTGTAGCTAGATTGCCATACCCTCTTGATTTAGGAAACTGGTTCAAAGCCACAAGCTCTTTTCCAACTCTTGTGTCCCACCCAGGCTGGCAGCACACTGCAAGACTGCATCACCACAGTATTAATACAGCTGACTTCTGAATAGCACATTCTCACATTTAAAAAGCTCCTGAAGCCTGTTCTTGGGAAGAATTTTGCCCTTGTGAAGACAGAGACCTTTAATACCAAATCAGTATTCCAAGTACTCAGAGACAATAAGGGAGAATAATAGCAACGAAGTCCTGCAGGAACTCCACCTTTATTTGGCAGAGAATAGCATAAAACTATAAAGCTAACAAGACTCTATACCCATAAATAATAAAGATGAGTTAATATTGAAATACTAAAAAAAAATATGGTTGTTTTTCCAGAGAAAGAGTAGAATTATGACTGGCTAGCCACACCTGAACTGGGACCCTGACTCTGCCCTGAAAAATTTTGTAGTCTGGCCAGATGTTTTGCCTACGTCTTAGTTTCTTCTTTGAAAACATGACAAATAATGTTACCTACTTTATGGAGTTCTCTGGCTGAGAACTGCCATAAAACACTTGGCACAGGTTTTAGGCTACAGGAAGTGATCAGTATCATCATAGTTGCTTTAATTATTAGAGAAAATTCATGCCTTGGGAGAAAATATGATCACTTTAGAATATGGCTTCATCTAGATTTGTGGGTCATGTTGAAGTTATTATCTATGTACTACAAATAACATCTAGATATCACCTACAGAATATTTCAATGGCAAGCCTTGTTCTTTCCTTTTAAAGTTGCTCCAGAGCCACCTCGAAACTTATCGTGCATCCAGATAGGAGAACATGGAATGGTGACCTGCACCTGGGACCCTGGACAAGATACACATCTGAAAACCCATTACACTTTACAGTGAGTGAGGGACTTTGTGGCTGTTTTGTATATATTTTATCTTACATGGCTTTCAGTACTACCAAATATTTTTTATTATATGCCAAAGAGAGGCAGCAATAGATTCCTCCCCTAGATTTTAAATACTGTTCCCAGTGTCTTCAGTGAGAGCTGTCTCAGTCATTTTAACTGATATCTTGGTCCTACATTCTCATTCAAGTTTTTCTTTGAGTCATCCAAGACCTCAGTTAAGGTGGTCTCCCTGCAACTGGGTTAGACTGGCTGTGTAAAACCCCATCTCCTTTGCAATCCCACACTCTTGGGCATCATGAGATATAAATAAACTCCTCCTTGGAGGAATTACATTTTAAAATGCAATTGACTGGTGTGAGAAGAAGGAATGCGGGGAATCTTCCTTCCTGAAATATATCCCATAATCCCATCACAAGGCCACAGGTGAGAAGGAGACAGAAAAGCCAGTGGGACCAGGATTGGAGTCTTCCAATCACCACACTGTGAGCCCAAACCGTACTTCCATTCAATGGAGGTCAGATACTCAAAGATCCTTTGGATGAAGGTTGGAAGTGCCCTGAGGAACCAAAATTATAGCCAGGGTTTGGGGAAATGAACAGTGTAGGCGAATACCCTTATGAGCACTCATTTAAAAAGATTTCCCACAAAAGGGGGTAAAGAGGAGACATGGTCATATATATAAGAAAAGGAGTCAAGTATCCCCACAGCATATCCATAGTAATAGAACCAGCCTTAAAATGTGTCTGGAATTTTTGATGTTAGAACATTTTGTTCTTTTGTAGTGATTGCAGGAAGCAGAATGTAAAGTGTATTGCTAACACAGTTGTGTTTGGGTTACAGGTTGACTGGACCAAACAATGTGACCTGTCAGGACCAGTGCCGCTGTCAGAATTGTAATCACTTGAATCTTGGGATCAGTCTAACCTCTGATTTAGCTGAATCCAAGTTCACCGTCATTGTCACTGCCGCCAACGGTCTCGGAAACTCTTCTTCACTTCCGTTTATGTTCACGTTCTTGGACATAGGTACATTTGATTGCAGTTTTTCAGGTGTCATTTACTGGCACGTGAAAATTATATTAAAGCTCACTCTAATTTTCTATGTGTACCTTTTTTAAAGGAGTTAAGAACTGATGGAAAGTAAGGAATAGCTACAGACAAAGTCAGGGCAACTTTGACACATCTAAAAGCAGGGCTCTGTGGCCATGTAGCAGTGGCTACAGAATGGCACCTTCCACTTCCTTCTCTTAGAGAAATGAGAGTTTCTGACTTCTTCATAGTGACAGAAGCTGCTGCCAGTGACACCACTGACTGAGGAACGTCCCAGGAGGTCATGCAGGCGTCCTTTTATTCCACTGGTTATCCCCACTGTGCACACTGTGCAAACAATGTGTCATGATATAAATGTATCTTCTCTGAGAATGCTAACCTCTAACCCTCATCCCCGGGAACTGGCATGAACCAGTCCCAGCATATGTGTGAACAATAGCATTGGCTTAGCTGAATTAGAGGCCAGTCTCAAGCATCCCAACTGGCAATCATCCAGACGGACCTGAGACCATCCAGGTGGGCCTGAGTGTCTGTCCTGCCTACAGCTCCTAGTCACACTATGTCTCTCTGCCTTCCTACAGCTCCTAGTCACACTATGTCTCTCTGCCTTCCTGTGGTATCTTTGTTATTTACATTCCTCTTTGCTCTCCATCTTTCTCCTCCTCCACTTCTGTCTCTTTTTATAATAATTTATTTTTTAATTTAATTTAAATTAGAAACAAGTTTGCTTCACATGTCAGTCCTAGCTCCCTCTCCCTTCCTCCCTTCCACCTCCCTTCAATCCTCCCCCAACCCCTTCCCCACTCCCCACTCCACTCTCCAAGGAGGGTGAGGCCCTTGTTGGGGGATCTCTAAAGTCTATCATATGATCTGGGGCAGGGCCTAGGCCCTCCCCAATGTGTCCAGGTAGAGACAACATCCCTTACTTCTGTCTCTTTAAAAACCACTTGTGTCTACACCGCCTTCTTTCCCTGTCCTTTTCTGTTTGTCTTGTTTTTTTTGCTTTGCTTTGAATTTTCCTAACATTTTTTCCTGAAGTGGTCACTCTGCCTTTGCAGTCACTGGCATATTGGTTTTCTTTAAATCTTACAAGTGGAGTCAACACATTCACTATTTGGTAAGATAAGGTTGGGCTAAAAGCAATCATTTCAATGGCCGAGAAGTGAACCCAACATTTTAAATAGCTCAGGTCAGTACTGAAAGCAATCACTGATCATAAAGCCTGACTTTCACATTCTGGTTTCTCTTGGTTACTAGTGAGGCCTCTTCCTCCGTGGGACATCAGAATCGATTTTCTAAATGCTTCTGGGAGCAGATGTGCCCTGCAGTGGAAAGATGAGGGCCAAGTGGTGCTCAATCGACTCAGATACCGGCCTTTTAACAGCAGGACATGGAATATGGTAACAGTCTTTAGAGGGATGGGGAAAAAATCAGAACGGGCCCTTGACACTGATGTACAGACTCATCTCGTCATGTCAACAAAGCAGGGAGCTTGAAAACTTTTAGCCTGGAAACACATATTGGAAATCTATCAGAAAGCTATATATACCTCTGTCTGCTTTTTGAATTTTTTTTAATGTGTCCAAGTGTTTCCCTGAATGTATGTGTGCTCCCACCCCCTGGAGACCATAAGAGGGAATCAGATCCTGATCTGAGTTTTATTTCCATTGATAACTTTTGTTCATTTATTTGTTTATTTTTTGTGTGATGTGTGTGTGTGTGTGTGTGTGTAAGAAAGGGGTGGGGTGGGAGGCATGCAGAGGTCAGAGGACAACGGATGGGAGTTGGTTACATCATGGAAATCTTGGGGATCAAAATCAAGTTGTCAGACTTGTCAGAAAGCCCCTTCACCCACAAAGCAATCTCATGACATCCTTAATGTCTTTTCTTTAAGCTGCAGGCTTGGTTAGTTGGGTTGGTTTCAGGGGTGCTGAGAATTGAACCCAAGGCCTTGCCTGTATCAGGCAGGGGTCCTGACACTGTGCTGCTTTCCAACCCTTAAATTTCATTTTACTGTTGTTTTTGGTTTGTGTGTGTGTGTGTTTGTGTGTGTCCAGGTACATGTGTGCCACAGAGTATATGTAGAAGTCAGAAGAAAACTTTTGGGAGTCAGTCCTCTCCTCCCGCCGTGAGCTCTGGGTACAGAACTCAGGTCATAAGGCCTGCACAACCAGCACCATTCCCTGCTGAGTCACTGATTCTAAATGCTTTAATCCAAAGGCTTTTATAAGCCTTTTTCAAATAAGCAATTGTTTCTCCTTTTTCTTCTATCGCCTGTCTCACTTTTCTTTTTTAACATTAAGGAGCATGTACTCAAAGGCTTGTTTGAAACTAAATATTCCCAAGGAAAGGACTGCAGTTAGATATATGAGGCGCTACGCTGTTTGTGTGGGGGCGTTGTGGGGTGCACTGTGTCATGGTTTGCATGAGTCGGGGAACAACCTTGAGTGTCAGTCCCGACCTTACAATTACACCTCATTTGAGACAGGGTGTGTTTGTTGGTCACAGATACACACACCAGGTGAGGGGCCCATGAGCTTGCAGTATTCTCCTGTCTCCTGCACCACCTCTCTGGGATTACAAATGCCTGTGACTGCACTTACACGTTTCCTGGAGATTTGGCTCAGGCCCTAACATTTATTCAGCAAGAACTTTACTCACTGAGCCGCTTTCCCAGCCCGGCACTACCATTTTTATAAAACAAAGCGTAGGATTATGATCCCTTCAAGAACTTTTGTGAAGTACGGGTGGCTTATAATAATGGGAAAGGATTGGCTCCACATATAGTTGAAACTCATGAGAACATAACTAATACTTTGTTCCTGAAGTCAGTTTTATGTCGAGTTCATCACATGCTTTTTATATATGGTATAGAAATTTCTCCACCTGACTTTAAAAACTGATAGATTTTTTTGGACTAGTATGATGTCACATACCTATAATCCCAGTGCGCTGAAGGACAAAGTTTCAGGCCAGCCTGTGCTGTGTACTGTGTGTGAGTGTTACCCATGGAAGCCAAAGGAGGGAGGAGCCTGTGAGACTGGAGTTACAGACAGCTGTGAGCCACCACCACAGGTACTGGGAATGGAACCCAGGTCCTCTGCAAGAGCAGCCAATGCTCTTAACCACTGAGCCATCTCTCCAGTCTCAATGTTTACTATTTTGTGGGGAGAGGGCCCTTATCTCCTTGTTTTGGCCATTGCATACCCTCTGCCTGTACTGAACTGTCCCAATCCACAATCCACTCTATAAGAATTCACAAGCATCCTATCTCAGCGGAACAAATCTCATCTGATTCAAGGTTAATGCTACAAATGCCAAAGGAAGATACGGCCTACAAAATCTGAAACCATTTACAGAATATGAATTTCAGATTTCCTCTAAGCTACATCTTTCTAAAGGAAGTTGGAGCGATTGGAGTGAGTCGCTGACAACACGAACACCCGAAGAAGGTAGGTATCCAGCAAAACTGAGGTGGGTGGGAATCAGGAAAGGGAGGCAAAATCTTCCTTGGAGTAGACTCTTTCAGAGCATGTGGCACAGAAACTGCCAGGAGGGTAAGTTTATGATGCTAAGAAGCTTTAGCATGAGGCTGCTCTAGCCCCTGTTGCCCATCAGCCAGCCAATTTATTACCATACAGTTAAATGTGTTCTTATTCCTCTTACTATCTCAGTACCTGTTGGTCCCCAAAACTGCAGCTGGTAATTAGCTTCATTTCTTTGATATATTTTATCTCATTGGTTCCTTGAAAATTATACAGATAATTTAGAAACTATAAACCATACGAAAAGTGTGAACAAATTTCTGAAGACAGTATCTAAAATAAAAGTAAGGTTCAACAACTCTCTTTCCTCAAATTTTGCATTGCCCTTCTTCAAGCCTTGGATGTCATCCTGCTCTACCAGGTTTAGGAGCATCATAACAAGTTCAAGTATTTATCTAATAAATGGGCTTTTCCTTTTGATAATTATTGAGAAGTCAATTTCATTGAAATATAAGCAAACATTTTACAGAAACAGAAATTCATTTAATCTTTCTATCATATTATCAAATTGTTCTCTTTTTTTATTAGTTCTTTAAGAGTTTTGTTTAATCTATTTTGATCATAGTCACTCCCTCCCCCAAATCCTACCCGTCTGATAACTAACCCACACAAATACGTCTTCTTTTTTTTTCTTGTTGTTTGTTTGTTTGTTTGTTTTTAAAACCCATAAAGTTCAATTTGTGCTGCCCATATATGCTAGGATGTGTGGCCATCACTGAAGAACCACACACCTTTAAAGAAACTAACTCTCAATTGCCAATAGCTCCTAAGCAGGGACTAGAGCTTCATGGTCACCTCCCCATGCATGCTGAGACTTTGTCCAGCTTGAGCTTGCACAGCTCTTATGCATGCTGTCTCAACTGCTGTGAACCCAAATGTGCAACTGTCCTGCTGTGTCTAGAAAGCACTTCCTAATAATAACAACCCTTTGAATTCACTTCCTAATAATAACCCTTTGAATTCACAAGAATCCTGGTTTTCTTTTGTTTGTTTGTTTGTTTGTTTGTTTGTTAAGCACTCATTAGTGGCATAGTATAGAAATTTTCATACTGTTGTGGGGTATTTGCCAGGGGAGACTGGACATGGGTTTAAGCCAACAGAAAATTTGTATTAGCTGGCCAGTGACTATACTGGGTATTCAGAGTCACAGTGCAGCCCTGAGCCTTTCTGAGATGAACTTTTAAGCACAAAAAAAAAAAAAAGTTCTGGGTTGATGTAGTTCAGTTACAAGAACAGTTAGCCAGAAACAGAACTACAGAAGCTAAAAAGCAAGGTTAGTACATTTTGAAACTCCCCCAAAACTATGTACTTTGAGGGATTAGGGCTTTGTTTTAGTTTTGGCAGGTGGTGCTGTCTACATGCTGAGTTTTACAGCCTGAATGGTATTTCCATCATGGGGTCAGTTGTGCTAAGGTCAGGGACCTACTCAGACCTGGAGTCCTGTTACTTTATGTAAATTTACATCAAAGAAAAAATACATAAATATAATCAATTGCATTGCTATCTAGAGTTTGGTTTTGTGACATAAATTCTAAGTGGCTGCCTTGGAACTCACTACGTAGACCTGGGTGGCCTTGAACTCGCAGAGATCTGTCAGCTTCTGCTTCCCAAGTGCTGGGATTTAAAATGTGCACTCCATACCCAGCTGGGACTTTCCTAATCCTGATGTGAACACCTAAGTGGTTATTTGCAAAGGTGGGAGTATGTATATATGAGAAGCAGCCTTGTGATTGGGCTGTTGTCTTTGAGCTCCTAATGGCGGTTTTGTTTGCTTGTTTTAAGACAGACTCTCACTATGTAGTTCTGTCTACCCTGGAACTCAATATGTAGACCAGGCTGACCTCAAACTCAAAGACCACTCCCCTGCCTTTGCTTCCTGAGTGTTGGGATTAAAGATGTGTGCCACTACAACCTGTCTCTTCATAGTCTTCTGGTAACTAATGACACTTAACAGTGACATGCTGGTGGCGTCCAAGACCCCAGAGAGACCCAATACCTGCTATGAGAATATTACACCCAGTACAGAGTTTGAATAATAATCTTCATGCCTCATGATAATTGCATTTCTCCACATAAGAAAATATCTAAAGTGAACTCATCTAGCAAGTGCTAATTAAATACCTCATTTTGTGACTAAAGGTCACAGCAGGGACCCGCATGTCCCTCAGTAGTCCAGAGACTTTCTTTATACTCTTTAATGAAGTTGAAATGAATTTTTGTTTGTTCACTTGTTTATTTGTTTCAAGACAGAGTCTCTCTGTGTAGCCCAGACTGTCCTAGAACTCGCTTTAGGCCTGGCTGGCCTCAAACTCAGAGATCTTCCTGCCTCGACCTCGGTGCTGAGATTAAAGGCATGTGCCACACATGTGAAGTGATTTTTTTGAAAAAAGAAAATACCTTGTAGATTAAATTTTGTTTGTATAGTGAAGATAAGATTATTCAAATGGGTCATAATATATGAGTCTAGACGTCTGTAAGCTACATTATGACATCACATGGGGCTGAGCTATAAACTACAAAAACTCAAGACTTACGAATCCTTGTCATTTATACACAGATTAACGACTTCCTTGGATGTATTGAAAAGGATTTTCTTTTCTTGCACTTTTTAGCACATATCTGATAAATTCAAACTTCTCCAAGGCAAGCTCGTAGCTCTTCTATGCTATAGATAGGCCGCCAGTCACTGTGAAGCTGGTGTGTTCAGAGCAGAGCAGGTTCAGAGGCCTGAGGCATGGCTTACCTCACCCGTAGGCTTCTTTTCAGGGTCTGCATCTTGCTCCTCTTGTTTGATCTTTCTGTGGGTTGCCCTGCACTCCTGCTCTTACTTTAAGCTCTGCGGTTTACACCCCTCACCACTCCTTTCTGTCATCAGTTTCTTTTTGAAACACCAACTGATGTAAACCTAAACGTGTGAAGTTTTTTTAACACTTCTTCCTTTTAACCCTTTTAAGTGTCTAGTCATATGGAACTTGCTTTACTCTCTGAAACTGTGAATGATTTATGATAGAACTCTTTTTCTGTGACCTCAGCTTCAAAAATCTGGGAGGAGCATGGTGTCCCCTGGTGGTCCAGGTGTGTCTGTTTGTGTCGTTCCGACTGAGTGAAGGCTCTCTTCACTGCACGTGGGCCCCTTCTTTTGGTGTTAAATTTGACTCCTGTCATGGTCTTCAGAGAAATGACCACTAAGGAGGGGGAGGAGGAAGGAAACCATGTCACTTTCTGAGAAACAGTCTCTAATTCAGGATCCGTCAGAAGCAGTCTTGACTCTGGGAACTCAAAGCCATATTTTCTTTCTAGTATGAAAACACTCATGAATTTGTGCTCAAAAGTGTCCAAACCTGTGTACACTCAACCCTCACAACACCTAGCAAAAGGCTCCACTTTGATGAATAGGCCTTCTTTTATCTATGTGACTCTCTGTTTACAGGTTTGAGTGATTTCACCTCAATTAATTTGGAGAATTAATTAAGGAGACATGAAATGCTTATCTTCCAGCCAGAGTGTCAAAGAAGTGCCTCACATTATGGTGACAGCACAGATGAACGAAAGATGCCCAAGAAAGGAGAGATTCAATGGTCCATTTCAGCCACCCTTTCTCACATGGAAAAGCCAAGAAACACATTCATTCATTCACTCATTCATATATTATACTAACTTATTATCACCATTAAGATAGATGTGAACAATTAAATACTAGAGTTATTCTAACATCTTAGAAAACAAGCCTTTCATCACAGTGAAGCTTGGGAGTTAGCAAACAGTTTACCTGCAGATCCAGGAAGTTAATACTTACAGCTTTGTAGACCATGAAATCTCTGCAATTATTAAAAGTTGTTCTTGAAGTGTCTAAACAGCCATTGTCACCAGACTGGAAAGTGCTTTCCTTTGAAACAGGAAGAATGGCCTACAAGAAATGTGTTTGAATCAGGAACTATAGCTCATGCTGGGACATAACAACAACCATCAGAGCTTCAGGCTCCAGGAGCTCCAATGTATCTTGAAAGGATACAGCAAATCCATGGGGGACGAAACACCAAGGTGAAGCATAACACCCAGGAGGAATCTGGGAGCCATTTTACATTTCTTCCCTGCTGAAAACTGAAGTTCATGTTCCCACAAAATTCATATAATGAATCCCTGATCCCTGATGGGATAGAATTGGGAGACGAGACTTTTGCCAGTAATTAGGTTATGAGTATGAAGCCATCATAAGGAGAGGCAAATGCTTCCCTTCTTCCTACATCAGGATTCAGCAAGAAGGCAGCCACACCAAGCAGGCTCTCTCTAGGCATCGTATCTGACAGCACCTTGATCTTCACTTCCCCGCCTCTAGAATCATACAGATAGATATGTGTTGTTCAAGCATCCATTCTAGAGTTTTGGTTAACAGCAGGTGTTTTGTCTGGGATTTACAGTCATCAAGGTCTTGCAGTAAGGAAAGGGAGCAATTGCCCCCCTTGAGACTCGGAATGTGTTTGAGTTCTCAGAAATCTCATAATCTTGGCTTGTTTTTTTTTTGTTGGTCTCTTGTGCTGTCTTCCCATTCTCATCTGTAATCTTATTACAAGTAGGACAAAATTAGCACTTCCAATTTCAATACCTGTCTTAAATTCTGTCACATTAACAATATGTTCTTATTCCTGTCGTGTCTTCACACTGCTAGCATTGTCCTGAGCTGTGTACTTCTCATCCATGTGTCTCTAAACAAACGTCTAGCTTTCCTTGTTTGAGCTTTATGAAGGTTGTACTCTGTATAACCTACAACCACTTTTCCCATCATTGCTCCAATTCCTTCATTGTAGGGTGGATGAGAAACCTAGAAAACTTTGTTCCCTCACCACATTCCTCACACATAATCATGTTTCCAGAAATACGCTTACATTAGAAAATAGAAAAGAAACAACCTCTTGACCTGGGATGCTAAGAAATGAGATGAACTTTGTGAAAGACAGAGATTGGGACAGTAGCTGAGAAGTATATGGTATTAAGAACTTCTTTGTTTTTCCCTTGGGGATCAGATACAATGCAGTATATTTGCAAGAGAATGACAAAGATCTAAGGATCCAGGGAAGGCTGTCTGAGTCCTGTGTAGAAGGAGAGCACCAAAACTTCACTTGCATTTGTTCTGGAGTTTGTAAAGAGAGCATAAGTACAGAATTTGATTTCTAGTCTGTAGTAGTCTGTTAGGTACTGGATCTTTAACAAGCAGTCTAATGAGCAATGCCTTTAATTTGTTGCCAATACATAATTAGCTGAAGGCATTATTGCTGTGAGCAAGTCAACTGATTTGATACTGAACACACCCAATCCTAATTACATGGTCAATGCTTGGACTATGTAATTTGTGGAATGTTCAAAATAGATCTTTGTTCAATATAGAAAACTACAATGGAAAAAGCAAGCTCCTTGGAGATAGCAAGAGCTGGCCTCAGCTGTCCACTTTACCAGTTATTAGCTATATGTCTTTTATCTGTTTGGTCTTTGCCAACCTCCTTGTCCACAGCTGTACAGCAGATGTTACCATGTGAGCCTCCTATATCAGAGGAGTGCTCAATGAGACCATGTACACAGCACTGTCTAAACTTGACCTTGCTCTTAGGAGTGGTTAGTGTCAGTTGCCTGTACTTTTTAACACTTTGTACATGGACTATTAGACACAAGTCCTAGACTCAGTTCCTTTGTCACTCTGTCACGTTTTGAAGAACTGAAAGCGTTTTAGATTGCTTTATGGAAGCTTTTCTCATCTTGTTGTCCTTGCTGAAAGGGCAGTGTTACCCCAGTGGGAAGAGAGAGGAAAGAAAAAAAAGCTTTAGGTAAAAAAAAAAAAAAATAAGTAGAAGATATGACAGAGAGAGGTGGGGGAGGGAGGGAGGGAGGGAGGGAGGGAGAGAGAAAGAGAGAGAGAGAGAGAGAGAGAGAGAGAGAGAGAGAGATAGAGGAGTCCTGATGAGGAATGTGGGTTTTATAGAGAAGTCACGAGTTTTTCTCCAAACCAAGTCACACTGCATGGTGCAAAGGCCAAGACCAGGTTATAGGATCAAAGAGACCCATGCTCAGAGCCTGACTTTCATAACTACGAATTCTAAGTTTCTTAACCCCTCAGCAGCTCAGTTTTCAAATAAGAAAAATGGCAAGCTAAATTTATCAGCAGTTTACCCTGTGGTCATACTCTCCATCTAAATTCTCAAGACAGCCTCCATGATATAGAGCTACTGACTTCATTTGACAGATGAAGAAACCTGCTAAAGGGCATATTTGTTGAAGATTACACGCACAGCAGGGTTCTGTGGTAGATGGTTTAGTTCCTTGGTAACCCTTGCACTAAGTCTTCAGTCCGAGCAGGACATGAGGCGGAGAGGTGGTGCTGAGAAGAGCCCAGTAAGCCCTTGAGATGGTACTAACACAGGCCTGCCCTGGCTTGCCCTCCCTTTCCCCACTATTAGTCTCTCCCTGACTGCTTAGCTTTTGTTATCCAGGTAGTAGGTGTTACTGTTCTAGAAATTTTGCTCTGGCTGAGAAGAGCATTACTCAAAAAGGAACCCCAGTGCAGCCTCACCTCAAGCACCCTGCCAGTTTCCCTGTGAATGAAGTTGGGTTGGAGTAACGGCAGTTGACTTCAGTGGTTGTCTGTACTGATTATTGACGGTACTCCTGGCTAAAAGCAAATCTATCCAGTAGGAGAGAAAGCTCTCTCTCTCTCTCTCTCTCTCTCTCTCTCTCTCTCTCTCTCTCTCTATCTATCTTTCTCTCTCTCTCTCTCTCTATCTTTCTCTCTCTCTCTCTCTCTCTCTCTCTCTCTCTCTCTCTCTCTCTCTCTCTCTCTCTCTCTGTGTGTGTGTGTTTGTGTCTCAGCACGGGGTTGATTATTCTCTTTTTCAAGTATGTTTGCCTTTCTCAAGTTCAGTTGTACTATATTCAACTATTGTCTCATATCTTGATGCCTATCTCTTCTATTTGTTCAGCTTGTGTTTGGACATCAAATGAGTAGCATTGCCTGGTTTGTTCATTCATCACTGAACCATATTAACTACATCCTAGATACCCTACTCAGCATTGTGACTTTTAAGTAAATGAGATGTGCCTTTGCTCCAAGTAGATAACACCAAATAATCACACTTCAGTCTAAGTTTAGGACTGGGGTAAAGATAGGCCTTGCCATTTGTACTTGTGTTATGTGTTCTTATAATACCTTGGTTTTCTTTATGTCCTTACTTTCCCACATTCCAATAAAAAAGAAATAATCACATGTACCTGAATTTTTAACTTAAATACCTATGTACAAATGAAATATAAGTTAGTATATTTTAAAGATAAATTAGGAATAAATTTCCTTAATATTTTTAATTTTTTCTTTTCAAAGTATCCATCTTTTCTTTTTTTTATGTTTGTGCATACATGTTTGCTTTTAAGTAAAAGAAAACAAAAAATACTAGATTACAGTGAAAATTTGAAATTATCCTATAATCCTATTTCCAGAACTATTTATTGACTTCTAAAGGTTTTCTACTGCATATATAAGCATATTTATGTGAAAATGTGCTTTTCACCCCTCCCTCTCATCAGAGCCTGTTGGGACATTAGACATCTGGTACATGAAACAGAACATCAGCTATAACAGACAACAGATCTCTCTTTTCTGGAAGGTAAGCTTTCAACTTAAAACTCAAGGAGAGTATATACTTAACTGAGTATGAGAACATATCCTTCTGCTTCCATCGTTGCTTCGGTACGGCACTTTAGGGATAGGGGAGCTCAGACAGTTCCAGCTGAGTTCCCTCCTCCAATCTTCACATCCTTGCTTCATCCAACTTCCATGCCCAGCGTTCCTGCCTCTAAACTGTACCCTCCCTTTTAGCCACTACTCTTCCAAAACTGTGCTCAGCGGAGACTTTCTGTCTTATTGAGTCATTACCGGGGAACAAAAGGTAAGAAAATTTTAAGTGTGGATGTTTAAGAATTTTTCCCACAGTTATTCGAAGAGAAAAGATTTTAAGAAATTGAAAGTAATTTAAATGATAATGGAAAGAGACCCCCCCATCATGAATAACAGAAAATGAGAGCCCACCTTTCTTATGAAGAACCAAAACTACACCTGGGCTGAAAGCCACCATGACTACCTCATTTAGTTCTCACAATCTTGGTGGGTTAGGCCCTAGATTTTCACCTACCAGATGAAAAAAACAGAGAAAGGCAGTGTATGCCTAGGGCCATCTCACCACTAAATGGAGATGGGGACTTGAGAGCCTCTCTAAATCTTTTTCTTCTACTTGATGAGTCATCTTTGTTGAGTCAAAATTCTGTTTGAAATCAACTCTGACTGCAAGCCCACAGGACAAGGTTTCCAGGTGAGGTGTACTGTATTTTATTTTTCAAATATCCCCCCACCACACACACACACACAGCATCTGGTGTAAAAGAATCTATTAAAAATAACTCATTGCATCATGACCAAGTCCTTCACTTGGAAACTAACATCGCAATTCAAAATGAAGTTGCCTTCAAGAGCAATGTTCAAAGTAAGATATGCTGAGAACCATATTTGTAAATGAAAAATCCAGCTTGGATGCTTTGTAATAAGGCTGAGATGATATTGCATTGGACGGAGGGCTCAATGGCATGCATATGAGTGTTCTTTAATAACACTGGAGCACCTCAAAACTGCAAAGAAGGGCACCAAAGAAGTCCAAAAGAGATCTCTACCAGCCTGCAAAGACAGTGGCAGAGTATTATTCTTGAATGAAATGAAATGCAAAATTTGTAGTACACTTTTGTAGGGAATGAGTAGGTGCTGAGTGGGTGCTGCCCCTGTAGGGAGGTAGTACGTGTGGGTGGAGTGTAAGTATACTCACATGCGTATCTGTGGGCGGGTGGGTGGGTGGGTGGGTACATTATGAGATTGTGTCATGTATGTGTTAATGTGTTTGTATGTATATAAGGGATAAATATGTACACTAGAGTTTGTATATATAAGGGAGTGATTATGTGAGCAGGTATGTAGGAATGTGCACATATAGGTATGTGTGTATGAGTGAGTGAGGATATGAGTGGGTAGAAGTTTACATATGTGGGTAGAGGGTTGTGTGAAGTCTATAGATGTGTACCTGTATGAATGTTCGGGCCACTAAGGGGAGAAACAGTTTACAGCTTTGTTATGTTTCCACCGTTCATCCTTTTCTTGTATCTGTGTCTGCTGAAAACTTCATTTCCTCAAAAAATATCTTGTACTTTGTAATATTTTTAATTTATTATTGTCTGTGTGAAATGTGTATAGAAGACAAGATTTGGTGAAACCAATTGTCTTCTTTTACCATGTGAGTCACAGGGATCAAACTCAGGTCATCAGCCTTGGTGGTAGTGCCTTTTCCTGCTTACACCATCTCACTGGCCCAATAAACTGTACTTTTTTTTATTCACAGCTATTTTTTAAATTATGCCCTATCTAGACGTATAAAGCTCTGTGTTATCTAAGAAATGGAAGAAATGCAGTACAGAAGAAATACTGCAGAATCTGTGGCAGGTTCTGTACTCACCAGGGAGCATCCTGAAAGCCTCTTCCCACTGTCCAAGGCTTCATGCCGTTTGCTCTGATTGCATACCTGTTTGAATCCATGACTCCTGTATGCCTTTCCCCCAGAGCACACATCCTTTAAAGAAAAGCATCATTCAATGTGTGGGTTTAGATAAGGACTGAAAGAAACATGGCAATATGTTAAAGTCACATTGGCCTCTGTACTTGCCTATTAATTTCTTAAGTCTTGACCATAAAAATTATGGTTGAGGTCCATTGATGTGGAAGAGCAATATCTGTGTCCAAATGAAGCTTCACTCTCTCAGGAGCTCATGCACTCTGCCATTCAAACAAGTGAGCGCCAGGCGTTGGTGGCACACGCCTTTAATCCCAGCATTTGGGAGGCAGAGGCAGGCGGATCTCTGTAAGTTCGAGACCAGCCAGGACTACCAAGTGAGTTCCAGGACAGCCTCCAAAGCCACAGAGAAACCCTGTCTCGAAAAACCAAAACAAAAAAACAAAAACAAAAAAAAAAAAAAACAAGTGAGCAAACAGCTCAGAGCTAGACACTTGCTGCCTGGTGGGATGTGGAAGCCCCACCCACGCCTTGCATCCCAAAGTTAACAGGCCATCGGAGAACAGACATAGGAGCAGAGTGATCAGGATTACTTGTAGGTAAGGAAGAGTTCAAGTGTGAACCAAAGAGATTCTTGTCAGTCACCCTATAGATCAGTAAAAACAGTAAGAAGCAGGGAAGGGATGTCACAGCCAGTAAAACTAGAGCTAGAGCCAGAAGCATGAGTTCCCCCAGGACAAGAGTGAGAGGACATTTGTTGGGAGACCTGGAACTGACTCATTATGGAAAGTACCATCTTGATGAAACACTGTCCTGTAGAAATGGAAGACGAGTCATTGATAGGAGCCACATGTGTACTTTAAGTATTCTTCTAGTCACACTTAATTTACTTAGAGTTTGTTTTTAGTTTCAGGGATTGCACTGTTGTTGATTGTTTGAGACAAGGCTTTACTATGTATCCCAGGTTGACTTTGAACTCACTATGGAGTCCAGGATGGCTTAGAATTTGCAGCAATCTACCTGCCTTGAATTCCCAAGTACTGAGATTACAGACTTTCTCAAAAAAAAAAAAAAAAAAAAAAAAAAAAAAAAACAATGGCAACCGCCTTTAATCCCAGCACTCGGGAGGCAGAGGCAGTCGGATCTCTGTGAGTTCGAGGCGGGGCTGGACCAACAGCCTCCAAAACAATACAGAGAAACCCTGTCTCATAAAACCAAAAAAAAAAAAAAAAAAACCAATGGCAACAAGCAAAACACAGCAATAAGCATGTCTTAGAGTTTCTATTCCTACAACAAAACACCATGACCAAACAGCAAGTTGGAGAGGAAAGTGTTTATTTGGCTCATACTTCAACATTGTTCTTCATCGCTGAAGAACAGAACAGGAACTCAAACAGGGCAGGATCCTGGAGGCAGGAATTGATGCAGAAGTCATGGAGGGGTGCTGCTTACTGGCTTGCTTCCCCTGGTTTGCTCAATCTTCTTTCTTATAGAAATCAGAACCACCAGGCCAGGGATGGTACCACCCACCATGGCCTGGGCCCACCCCCATTGATCACTAATTGAGAAAATGCCTTACAACTGAATCTCACGGAGGCATTTCCTCAACTGAGGCTCCTTCCTCTCTAGCTTATGTCAAATTGACACACAGAACCAGCCAGTGCAAAGAGCATCAGTAAAATGTTGATGATTTGTTATAGGATTCCATGCTTTCTTCTTTCCTCTACAGTCCTTGCCCTATCTGAGATGGACACAGCATTTCCAAAGACAGTTTTTATGGGAAGAAAGATTTCTCTTCCCCAATTGCTAATTATAGTTTATTTCAGCTGAAAGGTAGGGGGTCTGGTTAAAAAGCAGAATGTGGCCAATGACAAAAATGGAAAAGTCGGGAGAAGAGAGTTACCAAATTAGAAAGAAGAAACAGAAGAGGAGATAGAATTTTGCTTTCATAAAAGGCTCCCTTATTTTACAGCATTTCTAGGTGATAATTTAGATAGAAACAATGATGGCAGGGCAACACTCCATGAGATTTCATTCTTGATTCAATCAGCTCAGAAGCAGAGCAGCAAGGGAACAGCTCATGTGAGTGCTAACTGGTCCCACTAAAAATCCATCCTCTAGCCTAGACAGAGCTGTGCTATCTGGTTCAAGTTCTGTTTCTCTGCCATGTGATTGTGTTTTTATGTGTCCATCTGCACATGTGTATATGAATATGCATGGTGTGTGTATGAGACTGTATATATATTATATATATATATATCTGTGTGTATATGTGAGCAATGTGTGTGTATCTGTTGTATCTATGTGTGTATATGTTTGTGTTATGATTTTTAATTTATTTTTGAAAATTTCATATAATGTGAGGTTTTTATGTCATATATGCACACACTGAATTATGCTGAGACTCATTATTGTCTGTTGCCAAACCACCTTGCTAAACTCCTTGTTTATTTTTAACTAGCCCTGCTCCTACTTTCATGTCTCTTTTCATGAGTATGTGACCCACTGGGTTTTAATTGAGGTTGCATACATGAACATGAATGATATTTACTGAAGGCTGAGCAATTTATTAGTGACTACACCACTGAGGAAAATTACTCCCCTGCCACAGCAACCCACTATCAATTGCTCCTTAAGGAGGAGCGAGTACTCATGAGTCCCTTCCCTATCCTAGATAGAATATTGATTAGGCCTAATCTCACACATATCTTGTTCAAGTAACCACAGCTACTGCTTCGTGATTGCAATTGCCATGTCATTCCAAAAGACAGTGTTTTACAGCACTCTTCCTCATCCTATGTTCTTTCTGCTTCCTTTTCCCTATTTTTACTGAGTCTTGAAGGGGATGATATAGATGTGCTGTTTAAGATTGATTTTATTTATTTATTTTGTATCCTGCCACTTTGTAGAAACTGCTTATCAGCTCCAGTTTTTCTGGTAGAGTATTTATCTTATGCACTAAATCATATTATCTGCAAATAGGGAAACTGAATTCTTCCTTTCCTATTTGTATTTCCTTTCATTATCTTCCCTTGTCTTATTACTCTAGCTATGACTTT